TGACTCTGAAAACGATGAGTCCATGCTACGGCAGCACAAGAGATGAAAACTGAGGTTGCGTTTTTAGTGCTGGGCTGGACCTACAACTACGGAGGGGTTGCTTGTCTTCGTACCTGGTAGCTTCCACGACTACAGTACAGAATCAGAACCGCTTTAGATAACAACCTCTGCAGAAATAGTGGGAACCAAGGTTGGGGCGTGGCTGGCTTGTGCCAGTTTTAAGATTCTTTGTCCCATCACGAAAACTGCTAAATCGACTATCGGCTCAATGAGCTCAATTTGGCGAATGTTGTTGCAATAGTCCTGCCCAATATGCCTTGACATAGGATCTAATAGATGACAATATTAGATTTTCCAACAAGGCTCCTATTGGGAGGTCACAATCCACCATCGATATGCCATTGTCAATGGTTTCGGAAATAAAGTTTATTGTGTTTGCCTGATTACGGGTGTACCTACTTCACATGTGCAGATGTCCATCGATGGACTAACGGGTGGTTTCATGATCCTTCTAGAAATGGGCTCTATTCATTGGGTCAGTAGTTTCGCAATTCTTGCTGGTCCTTTGGACAAGGAAATCTCGAGCCACTCGAAAGTCGACGGGTGCTCTGTCCTCCTCAGCCACTACTTCACTTGTTGGCTGCTTGATAGGCTCCACGATCGAGCCACCATTCTCCATTGGCTGAGTCGACGATTCCTCTAGCCGTTCCTTAGCTACCGCGTTGTGGTCAACGTTTGACTCCTGCTGTGAGTCCACTCTTCTCTTTGTTGTTGGGGTCCGTTTGACGGGACTCCTCACTGTGGATCCTGTTCGAGTCGATCTTTGTAGAAAGCGTCGCTTTGCTCGTGCAGCAATTTCATCTCGACAGTCACCACGTGATTGGACAATATCTGTTGCAGCGCTTGAGTGAATGTGTGAAGGTGTTGGTCTCATCGCTTTGGAGTGAATTTCTTCAGATTTCTTGAAGGCACTTTGCAGCCAACTCTTCTTGTCTGAAACGCTCAAACGCGAAGCGGCATCGTCTGTAATGATCATAGATCGGGCTTCTCCTTGTTGTCCGTTGTCACAATCGGCAGCCTCAGCTGCGTTTTTAAACGCTTTTTTCAACCAATCTTTCTTTGCCGAGACGCTCATCGTGGATGGACGAGAAGTGACTATTTCGCTTTTCGCATACATTTTGACAGCAGGATCATACACGCCAATTTCACTCTTAGCATACTGAGTATTCAGCCGGCTTGTCAACTCATCTACCGGTGATTCATCCATGTTCTGAAACGCATTCTTCAGCCAATTTTTCTTGTCGCTGACAGATCCTCGTTGAATATGGTTCTCCCTTACAACCACATTCTCTTGCCCTCGATCAAATTTTCGCGATTTGTAGCTGACATTGTGTCCTCTAATGACACTCATTTTCTTTTTCTTTAAGGCCGTTGGGTCGTTGGCAAGCCATTGTGACAGCTTTGCAACAGACGCAACTCCATCATCTGTCGCTTCAATCCCAGCATGTAGAATCTTCTTCTTTCGAGGGGTAAAGTTCCTTTTTACTGAAGCTGGTGCTGGTTCCATGGGATTGATAGTTCCAGTCATCGGAACCACCGGGCGAATAGGTTTTGTAGCAGTACTACTCCTCGGGGGTTGATGCACTGCTGTTTCAATTTGTGGTGCGCAAAGAGGTTCCGAGGAGATCTTATAGTTCCTTGCTGGACAATGATTTGAATTTCGCTTTGCAAAGCTGTTGAGCCATTCTCGGCGAGCAGAAACCGTAGATGGCGTCTCTAGCATCGAGTCTTTCTTTGTTGGGGTGGAAAACGATGTCTCATTCACCACGTTGATTATGTTCTCTTGATTTTCTTCGTTACCAAGTGTCACGACCCACGATTTCGACATCGTATTTTCTTGATCGTTCTCTGGCAGCGATGAGGTCTCGATCATGTTTGAAGGCTTTGTTTAGTGTAAATGTATGTATCCAATGGTGAAATTGAATGGCAGTTTGATTTGCGATGATTCGGGAGGAGACAACGATCGCCAAAAAGCCAAAACCATTCTAACGGCGAGTTGGTCACGCTTGAAAGTAGTCGGATGTATCGAACGTCTACGTCAACTCCACATTGAGTATGATACGACTGTCGTGCGGTACGTCTGTTTCCATGATGGACGATCGATTTGTGCTGCACGACACACACAAACGAGACAATTTGTGACCTCGTTATAGATCTCTGACCCCAAAATGGAGGTGAGATATAGTTAATTTTCCTCTTGAATACCAGATACTTTGTCCTGGCTAATTTGTTTTCATGATTGTCACGAATTTTCTCGTTTTTCAAATATTAAAATGATGGTTGCGTCATTTTCTGCGTATGGAATCAAAGGTAAATAAGGATGAAGCTTCACGATGCCGAGACATTGGAGCCGGAGCGCTCCGACAAGGACAGTTTGATCGTGCAATAAAGTTTTTCAAGAAATCTCTATCCATGTACCCACTGCCCGGTGTCGAGGCACTGCTTGCTCAAGCAGAAAGATCGTCGTCGAACGCAACTGGGGAGAGTGCAACGCCGCAAGGGGGAAGAGCATCGAGCAGACCTTCTACAACGAGCACATCTGCTACATCTTCTACAACGCGAACAGAATCCGGTCCTAGCACAGCATCAGAAAGAAATGGCAGGAGAGGGTACACACAACAACAAGTCGAAATTGTTGAGAAAGTGTTGAAAGCGAGACAAGGTGGTAGAGGAGCTCACTATCGAGTCCTCGGAGTGAGTGAAAATGCATCGGAAGCAGATTTAAAGAAAGCTTATCGAAAGCTAGCACTGAAGCTACACCCCGACAAGAATTCCGCCCCACAAGCAGATGAAGCATTCAAGGCAGTTGGTTTGGCCTACGGAACATTGTCTGATTCCCAAAAAAGGACCATATATGACCGCTATGGGGACGAAGACCCCGACAATAGAGGAGGAGGAGGAATGAGACCTGGTGCTGGAGGGGTGCACTTTCGCCCTGGCCAAGATGTCAGCCCAGAAGAAATATTCAACATGTTTTTTGGTGGCGGCATGCCTATGGGAGGGCACATGAGAGGTCCAGGGGGGGTTCATTTCTATTCCAACTTTGGTCCAGGGCCTCGCTTTAGGCAACAACAGCGTCGAGCGGGACAGAATCAACAGCAACCTCCGAATCCAGTTCAAAATCTTCTCCAATTTCTGCCTTTCTTTCTCATTGTGCTCTTGTCATTCATGAACATGTCGGATAGTGGCGAAAGAGCATTCAGCAGTGGAGAGGGTCGTTATTTTAGTCTTACGGTAAGTGAAATGATAATTTTCTTTATTCGGGCTTGAAGAAAAGCTCAACGATTGCCTTGCAGCAAAAAGAACCTTTTGTCCATCCATTGCAGACGAAACTAACTGAAGTGAAAGGTATTCCATATTTTGTGGATGCTGGCTTCATGAAAACCATATACCGCAACAGATACAAGATAGCTCAAGTAGAGAGGATGGTTCAGACGGCATACGAAGGATATTTGGTGGACGAATGCAAAAGTCAAGAAAAATATAAGAGCAGCTTACTTGCAGAGGCAAGCAAAAAAGAATCACCGGAAGAGGTCAAGGCCGCAAGAAAAGCAGCGCAGCAGTTTGAACTATCGCGATGTGACGAACTGAGCGATTTATTCCCCCATCGAAAATACAAAAGATCAAGGGCGATATAAACCAAATGTAGTCAACAGGTATTAGTCGCGATATCTAGAATGTGTGATTGAGTCATGGAATTCTTTCTTCACGCATTCATCCCTTCATTTGTATTAGAATACATATCTACTCCTCATCTTATCCAAGACGGTAGACAATGATAATACGTTGTGTTGAGCAGCGGTATTCATACCTTCACCTCGGTCCGTGCTAGGTATGTATTAAACAATAACAATTTCATCTACAATTGCGTCTGCTGCTTTAGACACCCGTTGACGCATCACCAAGCTCTACAACGTTGATAGTGCAAAACTCTTGGAACGCCCAAATGACGACACGAGGTATTAGCATCAATCCAACTGTGCAGGCGAAAAAGTAGGCCGAATCTCGGACAGCGACAATATCCGAATGGTCATATGTCGCCAAGAGCGTGTCGCTGGGGTTGTGAAGAGGAAGAGCAATGCCAATCTTCAAGTTCCAAAGAAGAATGAATGAATGCATCATCAGAGAGTCAAAATAAGGTGTGGAATCTAATCTACAAGGGAACAACCGATGCGCACTTACATAGGACCAAATAATCACCAATGGAATCACAAAATCAGGACCAGATGGCTGTCCAGTCAAAAAGAAAGTAGCGGGAGGTAACATCGCCCCAAGAGCAACCACATCTGAAGCAGAGAAGGAAAGAAGGAATGAATGCATCAGCGAGTCGAACGAAAATGCCGAATATGACAGTGGACAAAAGCACTTGCCTGCAGCCAGCTGCACTCCAATATTGCTCGTCAAATATCGAAAGAGAATCGAGAATTGTACAACACTGCTCAGAATAAGCCAGCCACAGTGTAGGTAAAATGGAAATCGAAACAACCAGTACTCCACCAATGATTTTTTACCCCGCACCCTGTAATAGTGTTGACTTGCCAACAAGCAAGCCATGGATATTAATGCACAAAGGACCGCAACGAACGAAACTATGAACTTTTCGAATGCAAAAGCAAGCGTCCAGACGGTTTGCACAAGGCATGTCCAAAAGAAAAAGTACCCTGTTCCTTGCTGTATGATCGGTCGAGCCCGGTAGTATGGAAGAAGTTGTGCAATGGCAAAAATGGCTTCAAAAACAAGAATTGGAGCCCATAAAATGTAGGCCCATCGTGCCGGAGTTCTGTACGTTGGAAGCATACATACATTGGCAAAAGTTAGTAACCACACTTGGTCATGACATCTAGAACTATGATGTACTGCACTAGTGTACTGCATTGTAGGCATCAGGAACGACTACGACACTATTGCTAGTAGGCGTCCCGCCGACAAAGCCACAGTACAGCTACAGCACCAGTGCTGGACCTAGGAATGGCTTTTCATAGTCATCAATGAATCAATGAAGCAATTGAAAAACTTACATCAGAGTCTGAACTTCCAAAAATACGTCCACACTCTTTGGAAGTTGGGAACCCAATCCACGGACTCCCACATTGAATGAAACGAAGCAATTTGCGCAGTAGGTGATGAAATTCAAATAATTCAGGCCATTGAGCGGTGTTGGGTGTCTGCGATTCCCATTTTGCAGCAGCAGCGGTGCATTCATGTCACTTTCAAGCCGTAACCGTGGCGGCTCTGCGATATCGTCGTCAAAGTGTTGCCACGAGCTGTCATGAAGATCTTGATCTGCAAGCACATGCTGGACAGGGGATGTGGGAAAGTGAATGAAGTCTTCCTCTTCGTGGCCATTACCATTGCTATCGTCATCATCAACGGAAACGGAATACCTAGTGGGATCCCCAACCGGCGAAAACATTGACGGCGACTGCGATTGTTGGCGAGGGTCTGTCCTTGGGACACTGTCAGCAGAGTCGATGGAGGTTGGTGACATGTTGGGGTAATGTCTGTGGTGTATGTATCTTTGTACGTATGCTTGTTCGTTGAATGTTTGCTGTGTATTACTGTATATGTTTGTGGGGATTGTTCGTTGTATGAATGTTCAGAGAAAAAACGAATTAGAAAAAAACGAATCTTGTTTTGTTTTGTCAATGATGGTGAATGATGGCGGTATTGTGCGTAACTGGTATGAGAAGTGCAGGGAGTATGTTTGTTATTATTTTATAATGTTAAAATTTATAATCGGTATAAGTTTACGGTACCGATTCCAGAAAGTTTTACAGCGAGCCACTTTTCTACGAGGTGCGCCGTTATAAACGTACATAAAAACGTACATCCCCACGGGCGCATGGTACTTTCGGATCTTGGAAGATTCGCTCCCGGGAAGGTTTCACCGTAAGTTGTAAAAGTTGAGAATTGTATGCGTTATAACTATTATGGACTGTCTGTCCGTCTGTGCCATTGAATTGTGTGACAAAAACAAAAACAATACCGTCAATGATGTTTTTTGCCATAATAACAGTACTGTATGTTTGTAGCACCAATTTGTTTGGCAATTCACAACTGCTAGGCAGCGATTCTATCCAAAACGGCGCTTGTCTGTGCCCTGCCTGCGCATAGGAAGTCTATAGTAATAATAATAATAATAATAATATCTGAGACATTAATCATTAGGATGCTACTCTAGGGGCATTCGATTGCCGGTGAAATATTCGGCTGTAAAGGTCAAGTACTGTGGAGCGGTGAGTCAACAACAAGTTTGAACCATGTGAGGCATCTGTACATAGGCAGAAGTTGCCTAAGTCATGACTTCTCCCGCAGCGATGCGGGGTGAATTCGGGGCACTTATTGTCCCACAAACGTTGGGGAGCGTTCAGGAGGTGAAGCAGAAAAGATAGTCCGTAGGCTACTGTGTTGAGCCCGCAGAGAGCGACGATAGGCCTTGCGCTCGTGTCAAAGTAGCTTCAGCCACTCTTCCTTGTCCACCAGTGATTTACGAAGGACGCTGTGACGGCATGTCAGCATGCGTCAGATTTCCGGAGGTAAATCAGCTGAATCCATATCAAACTGAGAGTGAATCCCCTCATTGACAGCGCAGTGACGGTCACAGAGCTGAACATTGTCATCCGAATGTTGAACGGCGTTCTGTTGTTCCCACATATAGAACCCAAGTGAGATGAGTTGCTGAGAGAGACAGGAAGCCCACAGAGAAACTGACTGACGACTGCAAATCTCGTCAAAATAACTTTGTTGTAGTGACAGTCACAATGATGCTAGCCTTCCTTCCAAAAGTCCTTGACAACCAATAGCTTCCTGGGCCAGAAAGGTGGGGCGAATGGTTTGAGAGATCAAACAAGAGGTGTGTCGTGATGGATCGCGGACACCCAGAAGAAGATGGAGTATGGCATGTTTAATGGCAGGCGAGGTGAGATGCATACCCATTAGAGCGAGAGAGCTGTCACCCTCCGGACCCATTTGTCCTTGGCCGACGCTGCCAGACATTGTGGAACATGCAAGTGATCTTCAAACTCGCCGCACCGAGGACATGCAGCAGATGATTCGAGGCCCCAATACACTTTGAACTTGCCCCTGCCACACATGCCCACCCAATGTTTTGTAATCCAGTGCTGGAGTCCGGCAGGGAGGGACCGCATACTAGCGTGACCCAGGGTCTCCCAATCAATGAGGTTTGCAGCTTCTTCAGAAATCACGCTATGGTCCCTCCATTGTTGCCAAAGGTGTGGAAGTGTCACGCATTCCTGAATGAATTGATCACTCAGCCGGGACTGCTTTGTGTCAGCCACAAAAAGAGTCGCCAGTTCGGTGAAGAACCAAGGATTGGGAGGGATGAGTGTTGGAAATCGGTTCTGGCGGACATCAGACTGCTTGTCTTTGTCCAAACCGATTGACCACGTTGTGGCCCATCAAGCCATGATTGCCAACCAGCCGTGCCAGCATGCGACCCATCAAGTCGTCATGCATAGGCACTAATCATAGGGATCTCCGATCCGTCTAATAGGAAATAATCATCTCTACAGGAAATAACTATTCTAAAAGACTTGTTATCTACATGAAAAAAAGGGTGGGGAGAATGGTAAGCGTTTCGTAATGGTTGTATGAGCTGATTGTTGTTTTTCCACCGCTCCCACCGTGTCTTTCTTCTTCCCATTGAACTTGCAAAAGAGCGACGCGCCGAGAGCCAAGAGGGCCAAGAGCCGACAGTCGCCATGGAACTGACCCACAGAGGCGGTCTTTCCTCGACGCAAGAAGCTTGGACGAAAGAAGGAGCGGTCGCAGCGCTGGATCCAACATCAGCCGCACC